TTCCTTTTCAAATTCATTTTTTTTCTCTCTACGCTTTATGTGTTTTGTAAAGACTTATATTGTTAATTAATCTCTTAAGTTGAATGTCAACATTTCCCGATCTAGAATATTAGTAAATCGTTACAAATGATTAAAAGGAACTATGATTTTAATGCTGGTTACATCGCGATGAATCGATGACGACATTCAAATAAAAATACTTTTAACATTGTTTTTTTTTTTTTTGTCAAGGTCTATGTACATCATCAATTCCATCTTTAAGCGACATAAAGAGATTCAGGCTATTATTCTTCGAACCAGAGGCCAACATTGTATTAGTCAGATCAATAATATCATATCGCTCGATACATCCTTTTATTTATGAAAATATATATTTATTTCCCAGATTCCATCGACCGACTCGATAAAAAGAATCTCTGTGCCATTAATATTATAGCATGCCCAAAACAATACAAGACACAAATAGCTACATTAACGAAACTTCGATCTCTATATAAGTTATGTGTTTGGGTAAACATCCATACTTAGCATGGACAATATTAGTTTTGTACATGGATAAAGATCCAATCTTATTCTTTTTCTTCATCACATAATGCAAATGCCTCAAAAGCTGCTCGATACTAAGTAGAAATTTTTATATTATTACCATTTCATTATTAACAATAAATTTTCCTTTTCTAATCGCCACTATCATTTTCAAAGTAAAAAGTTTTCTCTCCAAAGACACAAACTAAAATATTGGAAAAACTATTTCTCTAAAATGTCAAATAATCAGAAACCACACACCAATCATACCATTAATTATTTTGAAACTGATTCATTTTTCACGAAAAACATTTGCCGTCAATCCCCCCCACACCCTAGATCCCTTTCTTTCATCCAATCAAACAAAGTAATACAACAAGTAGTAGAATGTCAAGTTGAAATTCTTCGATAATTAATTCCCTAGTTAAACAGGTCCGGCCACCTTGAATCAAGGCTTTACCCCACTGGCCTATATGATTTGTTGATATTCAGGCTATCCCCTTACCAACATTTCCTCGCAAGACATCTTCTAGTTAAATTTCACAATCTATAAGAATGATGTCAACACAAATACATACTACCTTTTATCAAACAGCTCGTACTTTTGACATTTTCATCCGTCTGACATGTTCAAACAACTATGGTGGAAAAAAAAGCGCCTTTCACTTTGGAGTTGAAATCAAGCCTGATCATTAAGTTTTTTTCTAAAAAGTGTGTCACATTCGGTGATATGTGTTTAAGCCATTGACATTTATCAAGGCAATTCAATTAATGGCCAAATGAGCTGATGTCAAACGGTAAGAATCACATGTTGATTTGTCATAATAAAGTGATAAAATGTAAAAAGAATTCCTTGAAATTCTGCCCTTAAAAAATTCTATATGTTGACCTTAGTATAAGTTACGAATTCCAGAACAAAATGATCTCACTTATGTAAAAGGTGGCTAGTTAAATAGCCATAAAATGAAATGGAGTTTAACATCCTTTTGGTGGGTAGTCTTTTAATCTGATTGTATCTATGAGGGAGATTACACTGTAACCCAGGTATCATTTAATCTTGTGTATCTAGCACTAATTTCTTTCACATTCATTTAATATCAAATCTTTGTTCAAAAATTCGTAAAAACTGTTTAAAATCACCATAAATCGTTTAATTTGTACATCTATCCAGTTTAAAGCTGACCATTTAATTTTGATAATGACTGTCCAATTTACAAGTGTTTAATTTCTCAATCACTGTTAAAAAATAAACAACCCAATTGATTAATGATGTATAATGATAAATTTTTTAACAGTGGTCAGGAAATTAAACACTTGTAAATTAGACACTCATTATCAAAATTAATCAGTCAGATTTAAACTGGACAAAAGTACAAATTAGATGATTTTAAATGATTTTTACAAATTTTTAAACAAAGATTTGATATTAAACTAATGTGAAAGAAATCAGTGCTAGATACACAAGATTAAATGATACCTGGGTTACCAGGGATATTTTGATTTAAATATTAAATAATCAATTTGAATAAGTTTTGGCATGGATTAAGTCATCAAACACCAGGCCCTGAGTTCACAAACCATTCTCAAACTTCAATAAAGAATTTACTCAAAATTGTTCGCCTTAATTTAACTAAAATATAGCCGATTATAAAACTTGTGCTATTTTAATGTATCAAATACATCAATAAGAAACTATGTTCAAAGTTTTGTGTTTCTGGATCAAACGTATTTCTCATAAACAGTGATTGAAAATTGAGTAAATTCTTAACATAAATCTGAGAATGCTTTGTGAACTCGGTGCCATGTAGCATCTATAGAAATATGGTTTTATGCACTGACTGTGCTAATGTGGATGGGCATACACTAAGCATCATGCAATGAGTAAAATTTTGCCACAAGAGCGGATCTACAGCTTGCTCTTTTATAGAATTCCATTCTTCTTCTCCTTCCGCTTCCACCGAAGGTGATATCGCAGACAAGTCTTATTTTTATTTATATTATCTTAGCGCAAGCGCAAGGGGTCTTTCCTGTGGGAGGAATCCAGAGTACCCAGAGTAAACCCACAAGGTTGAGAAGGCGCCTCTATCTCCAAGCCACATACGCTCACACCAGGGATCGAAACCACAGCCGCAAGCCAGAGGTGACCGGCCAGCTAGAGGTCGAAGCGCTGCACCCTAGACCACTAGGCCATCCCCCCCCCAACTGTCATGGAATTCCAACTGTCAGGGGTTCTTTTAGATGCACTTAAACATGGATTCTGCACACAGAGATCCATCTCCTTCATACTTTGAGAATAGATCTCTGCCCTAAAAGGCCGCCATATTAAAAACTTAGTATAGGCCTACTGTTTTGTAATGCATTTCACATCTATCATACACACAAAGACTAAATAAACTTGTTCAGTTTTATTAAATGGAAGTAGAATAAATACTTAAAAAAAAATTTGAGAAGCATACTTGGTGTTTTTTCGACTAAAATCTGTGATTTAGGGGAGAGAGAGAGAAATGGGGGTTTAACGTCCATTCGACACAAACTAGGTGAGAAGCATACTTGGTGTTTTTTCGACTAAAATCTGTGATTTAGGGGAGAGAGAGGGAAATGGGGTTTAACGTCCATTCGACACAAACTAGGTCATTTCGGGACTAACATATGGTTTAATTTTATTTACATAATTCGCTTGCGCGTAGGGGTCATTAGCAGTGGATGGAAACCGGAGGACCCGGAGAAAACCCATGAGGTTGGACAGGCGACCCTACTCCTCGTCACGTATAACCGGGGATTCGAAACCACGCCAGTCGACTCAATGAAAGACTTTATGATACACTAACCATTCAGCCATCCAACCCCCTCTCAACTAGCTTAGTGTCTGTTTTCAAGCAGAGCTAACTGTAGACAGGACTTTGGTTTTTTTGTTTCTTCTGAATGGCTAGATTTGTCTTGCCAAGCTCATTGTCTTGCACACTGATATGAACAGGTAAACAATAGCCCGGAGGAGAATCCGAAAGAATTTCTCAACAAATGCCATAGAATGAGAAAACTAATTCCTTACAATTCTTGCAAGAAAAACTTAATTGGTTTTGGAATAATGCTTATGCAAATGATGATCATCAACTTTAAATGTAATTTATCAAATTTCTATTTTCAGAATAGAATTCAATGATCAACAGATAGCAGAATACTTATTCAAATTAATAATTTTATGAGAGGGGCCTTGGTGACTCACTGAGAGAGAGAGAGAGAGAGAGAGAGAGAGAGAAATGGGGTTTAACGTCCACTCGACACAAACTAGGTCATTTCGGGACTAACATATCGTTTAATTTTATTTCAATAATTTGCTTGCGCGTAGGGGTGTTTAGCAGTGGGAGGAAACCGGAGGACCCGGAGAAAACCCTGGTAAAGGACAATGTATTGTTGTTTGAATGTGATGTAAAACTGAGGTCCTGTCAAAATATTGGCAAAATTTCCCTCATCATAGCACACTGTTTGGCTTGGCAGTTGGAGTAGTTTGTAGTACCACTTTCCAGGCAAAATTTCCATCAAAGCACACTGTTTAGGCATATGCCCGTCTTTATTAGCCCAGCCGGAAGCGAACAGTAGAATTTTAAACCTGATTTCATTTCATTTATAAATTCTCATATAAACTTTTTTACACCTACATAGTACTTAATATTCTGAGATAAACTTTCTTTTCACTCTAACAAAAATTAGCATTTTCACAACAAAAATTGAATTAGTCAAAATTCCTTCATAATCTCTTTAAAACATTTACAAGTATATAGACGTTTATAATATCAAAGATATTTTCTCCATTAACGAATATTGCTGTTAATTACAAACTAAATTGAATAATTAAGAAATGATTGAAAAAACACATATAAGCATGACTGGAGATAAAAATGTTATATTGACAAGTAGATATTTGAATAGATCAAAGGCAAGCTGTACAACCAATTATATGATAATTGCAAATTTTGTTCGTATATTTCGTCATTTAAATCAATCAATCAATTTATATATCTTAGGCCAAAAAAACAAAACCCTTAAAAAAAATGAAGTGTTTATGGTTACCCAAAAGCCAAAATCACAGACCTTAAATGAAATGAAATAGGGGTTAACGTCCTACTGTTCTGCTACAAACTGGGCTAATGAAGACAGGCATACGCCATACAGTGTGCTATGAGGGAAATTTTGCCTGGACAGGGGCACTACGACCTACTCTTATATCGAATTCCAACTGTCAAGGCATCTTTTACCTGCACGCCAATGTTTACACGCCACGTCGGAAAATCTGGATGAACTTTCTTGGTCAATGTAGGGAATGAAGTCCCAACCTCCAGGCTAATGAGCCAGCATCTTACCCACTTAGTCGATATGGTAATGTTGTTGTGCATAGGTGTTATTAATAATACTAATACAATAGGGGGGGGGGGTTAAGGTAAGTTATGATTATTACAATGATGTCATCTAATACATACCTGGTAAATCTATAAGTTTTTTATATACAGATAAAAAGGCTCCTTCAGCTGATTTGCTGCGTTTTGAAAGACTGTCAACTTCGGCTTGAAAGCTTTTTAATAATGGAGCCACAACTTTACGAATGTCCTGAAATCATAAACAAGCCAACAGTGAGGCTGATGTCCCCCGCCGAAATAGGAAAATAATTAGAGGACACATATAAATTTATCACAAATAAGCGGAACGGACAGACAGACAAACAGACAGACGGACGAACCCATTTTAATAGTTCCCTGCTTTCTTCGAAAGGCGGGGGACAATCAAAGTAGGAGAGTTATTGTTTTCCAAAGTCTCGACCAATCAAATTGCGTATCGCTCTGCTTACCCTGAGCAGAAAATGCTCATTATCAAACTTAGTCAAGGTATTACTGTAATGAAACTATACACCAAGTTTCATCAATCTCACTTAATTAGAACTAAAGTTATCGTGTCCCAAAGCATCAACCAATCAAATTGCTTATCTCTGCTTACCCTAAGCGGAAAATGCTCATCTTCGAACTCCATCAAGGCATTGACCTAATCAACACATACACCAAGTTTGAACATTCTAGCTCAATTAGGAAGAGAGTTATCGTGCCCCAAAGTATCAACCAATCAAATTGCTTATCTCTGCTTACCCTAAGCGGAAAATGCTCATCTTCGAACTCCATCAAGGCATTGACCTAATAAACACATACACCAAGTTTGAACATTCTAGCTCAATTAAAAGTTATCGTGTCCCAAAGCATCAACCAATCAAATTGCTTATCTCTGCTTACCCTAAGCGGAAAATGCTCATCTTCGAACTCCATCAAGGCATTGACCTAATCAACACATACACCAAGTTTGAACATTCTAGCCCAATTAGGAAGAGAGTTATCGTGTCCCAAAGCATCAACCAATCAAATTGCTTATCTCTGCTTACCCTAAGCGGAAAATGCTCATCTTCGAACTCCATCAAGGCATTGACCTAATAAACACATACACCAAGTTTGAACATTCTAGCTCAATTAGGAAGAGAGTTATTGTGTCCCAAAAAGTGTGACGGACAGACAGACGGACAGACAGACGGACAGACGGACGGACAGACAGACAGACGGACAGACAGACGGACGAACCCATTTTAATAGTCCCCTGCTTTCTTCGAAAGGCGGGGGACAAAAAATAAATCATGAAATATATCAATTGTCTCACAACCAGAGGAGGAGTCTGTAATTATGCTACGCTCTGGGGCTCCTAAAGAATTCAAGATCTCACACAGTTTGGGGGGGCCCTTTAGTTTTAGTTTGGGGGGCCCTTTAGTTTTAGTTTAGGGGGCCTGTTAGTTTTAGTTTGGGGGGTCCTTTAGTTTTAGTTTAGGGGGCCCTTTAGTTTTAGCTTGGGGGACCTTTTTAGTCTTGAATTTAAATTGTTCTTGATGAATTGGTAAGACTGCCACACACTAACTTTGTGCATTACGCTAGAAACATCAGGATACTATTGAGAAAGCACATTTTACACTCAGTTTTTCTCAACCGGGGAGGGGGGGGAGGAAACTTGAGGACCCGAAAAAAAACCCATGAGATTGGACAAACAACCCTATTCCTTGTCACATACACGCAGGGAATCGAAATCAGATCACTTCACTCAATAACAGACCTTATGATAAACTACTAGATTCCCCAACACCCCCGGGCCAAGAAGAGGCTTGGTATTTTATACGGCAAAGTACCCACTAGTCTGACAAGGAAAGTGTTGACTGGTCGTTCAAGATGGGACAAAAAAAAACCCAGATCCACCCGTGTCTAAGCTGGTCTGCACGTTAAAGAACCCTTGACCGATGGAATTTGATGTAACCATAGAAATGAAACAATATGACCAAAACATTATTTTGACCATTCTATTCAAAACAGCATGTGTAAACATTTCTATGCAAGTCCTCTGGTACGGTACACGAGTCCTTGGACTGCAATTAGCATTGACCTAACCTTGCAATCTTAATCCTCTGTCATTCTAATTTCTATGACAGGCCACAAACAATTAAAATGCTATGAATGAATGGGGGTACATTTGTAATAACCTTGAACTATGACCTTCAGTTGTGAACTTTGTGGATTGCCACATAGGTTGAATTCAAAATAAGAACTGGGCTATTTCTATCTAGTAAAAGAATTAGTATTCAGTAGGTATTTGTATACCCGTCTTATTCAGCCAGTGTGTAAAACTTTAAACGAGTAACAAACAATGTAGTTACAATGGCCGATTTTTTTTTGTCCAAGCATTTAATTTAAAAAAAAAACTTGCAGCCATTAAAAAAAAAATTACGTCTGGATGGAATTGTTTTACTTCATGTGTAGATCTATTTCCAAAACTAAAAATATTTAGACAGGATTTGAAAACATTTACCCAAAGTTATTTGTTTATCCAAGCCATTTTTAGTGCAGATAATTAATGCCCACATTATTATATACAATTCGGTAAGTCATTAATTTGTTGTCTGCTTGTCTTCAATGTTTTAAATATTTAAGAAAGCCAGTGATAATTAAATTTTAAGGCACAACTTTGTGGCAAATTAAAAGATGGAGCATTATTCACAGACAAAACTTAATCTAAAATCTTTTAAAGCTGCAATAATTTCATTGGCTGTGTGTTTAAATTCTAGTTGGTTAACCAATGAAAAGTCTGTATTTTTAAAATATTTTTGTTTAAGTTTTCTTGAATAAGGCTCGGGGTTGAATAATTTATCGAAATATAGTGTATTGAGATAACGCGAAAAATCAAGGTCCCTTTTACACCCCTCTGCGCATTATAAGGATCCCCTGACAGTTGGAAATTGAAATAATGGTAGGTGTAGTAGCGCAGCCATCTGGGTAAAATACTCCTCTTAGCACACTACAAGACATCTGGCCGACTTTATTATGCTGGTCGGTGCCAAAAAGTAAGACGTCAAAGTTTGTTTTATTATGTTTCATATCAAAATACAGCTCTACTGTATTAAAGAGAGAGAGAAATGGGGTTTAACATCCACTCGACATAAACCAGGTCATTTTGGGATTAACATATGGTTCAATTTTATTTCAATAATTCACTTGACAGACCTTGTGATTTCACGCCCACACGTTAGACCACTAGACCCCCCCTCTCCCCCACTTTACAGTATTAAAGTCACTAATTAACAGTTTTTGGGACAAAATCTGATGTTCCAAGGCTTAATCCATGGCAAAATTTATTCAAATTAATTATTTAATATCTAATTAACCAAACCAAATCAAAATATCCACTATAGATAATACCCCAGCTAAGATAAAATGGGATTAAAAGGCGGCCCAATAAAAGATACCAGCTGGCTTGTTTGCATTCTTACAGACAATGCTGAATGTTAACAAATTTTCAATTCAACATGTGTAGGGGGGTCTTCAACGCTAACCATTCGGCCACCCACGCCCCCAAAGTTTGCAAGGGAGAGAGAGAGAGAAATGGGGTTTAACATCCACTCGATACAAACTAGGTCATTTCGGGAGTAACATATGGTTTAATTTTATTTCAATATTTCGCTTGTGCGTAGGGGTCTTTAGCAGTGGGAGGAAACCGGAGGACCCGGAGAAAACCCACGAGGCTGGACAGGCGACCCTACTCCTTGTCACGTACAACCGGGGATTCGAAACCACGCCAGTTAACTCAATGACAGGCCGTACAATACAGCATGCACATGCTAACCATTCGGCCATCCAAACCCCCAAGTTTGCAAGGGATTAACAATAATTCAATGGGTGATCAGTGAATTTAATGTCTGACAATTTAAATTCTACTCCTGATATCCCACACATAAAATATATATATATACCCCCCCCCCCAAAAAAAGATAAAAAAAGATAAACAGCTCATCAATTCATGTTATGTGAAAAAACAACAGGAAAACCACATCCTACTGAGTTTTCAATGAGTTGAAATCTATCAGGGGTTGGCACTTAACTTATCAATTTGATTGACACGATGGGGAGTCCAAAATAATCAATTTAGAATATCTTTAACCAGAAATCTTGTATAACGAAACTGTCAAATTTATTCAGAGCAAGATAAAAAAGTATAACCCATAAAACGCAGGTTGGTAGTCAATATCTTTCAATAGAGATTAAAAACTAATCTATGGTAGCTTTGAGAAGCGGGAGTCATCATGATTTCTAGCCTCATGTTAATTAGTTCCATAAACTCCCTGCTGGGTCTATTTCCTGTAGAAAAGTCAGGCAAGATGCTGGCCTAGCAAATATTGGTAATTGTTTTCTTCTGATGTCAGTGATGATACCAGTGCTGCTAAATATCATCATAGCTGTTTCGATAGCTTCACTAATTGAGTAAGTCGTTATTTGTGTATTTCTGGCAATGTTGACTTCTATCTTACATACTGTTCTTTTAGTGTTAACATTCCTGATTATTACAAGATTTATTTACCAAGAAAATATTAGGGGTGTTTTTTTTTGTTTTTTTTTGGAGACATCTACCCAAACAACTCCTTTATTAAACGCTATACCTGCTCTTTCATTAACACCATTGCAAGACATTATATACCCCTTTCCTGTTCCCTCTCAAATACCTATATCAGACATTAAACCCCATTCCTGTCCCCTCTCAAATACCTTTACATGACATTAAACCCCTTTCCTGTCCCCTCTAAAATACCTTTACATGACATTAAACCCCTTTCCTGTCCCCTCTAAAATACCTTTACATGACATTAAAACCCTTTCCTGCTCCCTCTCAAATACCTTTACATGACATTAACCCCTTTCCTGCTCCCTCTCAAATACCTTTACATGACATTAAACCCCTTTCCTGTCCCCTCTCAAATACCTTTACATGACATTAAACCCCATTCCTGTCCCCTCTCAAATACCTTTACATGACATTAAACCCCATTCCTGTCCCCTCTCAAATACCTTTACATGACATTAAACCCCATTCCTGTCCCCTCTAAAATACCTTTACATGACATTAAACCCCTTTCCTGCTCCCTCTCAAATACCTTTACATGACATTAAACCCCATTCCTGTCCCCTCTCAAATACCTTTACATGACATTAAACCCCATTCCTGTCCCCTCTCAAATACCTTTACATGACATTAAACCCCTTTCCTGCTCCCTCTCAAATACCTTTACATGACATTAAACCCCATTCCTGTCCCCTCTAAAATACCTTTACATGGCGTTAAACCCCATTCCTGTCCCCTCTAAAATACCTTTACATGACGTTAAACCCCTTTCCTGTTCCCTCTCAAATACCTTTACATGACATTATACATGCACCCCATGACAGGTAATGATACGGTTAAAACACTGCGATGGGTAATGACCCGGGTAAAGTGCTGTGACAGGTAATGACCCGGGTAAAGCCCCAACGAGATATTAAACCCCCTCTACATTCTTCTTTACTCTATTTGATTGAGGGGGGTGGGTTGGCACGAGTGGTTTAACGCATGCACTTTAGATCATAAGGTCTGTCATTGAATTAACTGACATGGTTTCGATCAAAAGCTTGTATGTGACAAGGAGTAGGGTCGACTGCCCAACCTCATGTGTTTTCTTCAGGTCCTCGGGTCCTACGAGCAAGGGAATTATTCAAACAAATTGTAACATATGTTTGTCCCAAAATGACCTACTTTGTGTCAAGTGGCCTTTAGTTGAACTCCATCTCTGTCTCTCTTCGATTGGCTAATGCACAAAATTTATATTTAAACATTTGTATAACGTTACTTAATTACCCAGATATTTGAGTTTTTAATCTGATTACAGCACCCCCTTAGTTGGGTATTCAGTAAGTTTGACGTTGGCAGTGACAGATGAAACCATTACACATCAGAGTTTATCTCTTGTTTCAATATAAGTGTCAACATTGTAATCAGCTTTTTAGGTAAAATTACTTCAGACCTTCAACACACGCTGATTACAGGAAGGTTGTAATTAGTCAATATAATTCTGATTCAAACTCATTTTGTAAAACTATTAAAGTTGATAATGAATCAGCCATGTTCTTAACATACATGTAACGTAAAATGAAGCCAGAAGATGAGATTTTAAAGCGATCTTATATAAGTGCTTAAAATCAAAGTTTATTTACCTGCTTTATGGGTCCAAAATCCCTGAATTTAGATTTCAAGGGGCATTTGGTAAGATTAGATAAAGAGCTGACAGTTTTTGCTATAATAGTTAAAATATAGATAATGAAAAGAGAATATGCTGAAAATTTCAGTCAAAAAGCTTCACCCTGAACCTAGATATTATTGATTCAATTTTAGGGTAACCTTGATCGTCATTAGTAACGTTATAATAAACGAGGTCTCAATTATTCATTTTTACGGTTATTTCATCCACCACAAAATTTATTCAAATCCACTAAGCATTGCAGGCATCCGATGGCATTGAGAGTTGATTACTTTCTTGGTAAGTTAATTCATGTCTAATTAATAGTTCAGATAACATTTAAGTCCTAAAGAAAGACCTGCAATATGCAGATTTAGCTCTGGCATAATGCATGTTTAAAATACAAGTTTTCAGAAATTCTAACATGAGATGATAAGAAACTTGGTATAATTCATTAAACATTAACTAGGTCATTTTGGGACTAACATATGGTTTAATTTTAATTCAATGATTTGAATGTGCGTAAGTGTCTTTAGCAGTGTGAGGAAACTTGAAGATCCAGAGTAAACCCATCAGGGAACCATACCACTTGGCTCAATCACAGAACTTTTATGATCTTAAGCACACGAGTTGACAATTCGGCCAACCCAACCCCCCCAACCCAACATGAAATAAGAGCAAAATATGGGAAATCGATGGATGAACATAATGTAATTAAATGTCTGCTTTTTTTTTTTTTTACAGAAATTTCTACAATTTGATTCACAGCTCTTTCTGATTTTTTTCTGCCAGTGAGCTAACCATGCTTAATTTAAAAAAAAACCTCCAGACAACAATAATGGCATTAACTCAATGCCTATTTACACAAGTACATGTTTTATGATACACAAAAGCTGTTTGAACAGTGCCGATTAGAATCATAATCCTGCAACGATATAAATCTTAGGCCAAAGAAATGTAATTCTTTAGTTCTTCAAGCTCTTTATAAATAAATAGCCAATTCTGTGAACAATATTTTGTTTTAACTTTAACTCATTATTTCCCTCAAGAAATAATAAATAAATGAAATAAAATTGGGTTTAACGTCCTACTGTTTTGCTTCGACTGAGCTAACAAAGACGGGCATATGCCATACAGTGTGCTATGAGGAAAATTTTATCTGGAAAGCAGCACTACGGCCTACTCTTATATCGAATTCCAACTGCCAATGTGACCTTGTTCATTAGGATCGTCCGAAGGACTATCAATGTCACTTGCCATCAAGAAATATGAGGCACAATTTTTTTTATTAAGTCTTCCCGAATAACAAAAATTCTAATTGAAGTGGCCTAACATGTAGACAATTCACAGGATATTTCAATAAAAATACAATAAATATTAAGCATGTTGTAGTATGTAGTATTTTAAGACTTACTTCTGGGGTGTTTTTCTTGAAGTCTCGGCTCTGTTCTACGAGTCGTTTTCTGGAAATATCGCTTTCATCTTGTTTGTTAGCGAGGTCTGTAGCAGTCGTGTCAAGTTCTTTCTGGAAAATAAAAATCAAATAAACAATCAAACATCACATCTTATAAATAAATAAACACCAGATCTATCAGTTGGCTTCGAGATTGTCGAGCCATAGGCTGCTGGAGAATGGAGCAGTTGGCTAAATGTCTTGACATGGCGATAAAATCACTTTAGGCTGTGGTACAAGTAATCAAAGTAGATTATAAACTGATTATCTGATAATCTTGAGCTTTGGAATCAAGTATTGATTTTTTTTTTTTGGGGGGGGGGGGGGGTAACTTTCTAATTGTTAATTAATTTTATCGCAAGATCAATAAAAATCGTAATTTATTCCGAAAGACCATGATGGCCACTGACAAAAACTTGCCAGTATGAATAAATCAATTTTTGTCCTATCCTAGCAGCTAGACAATTAACAATGGGCTGAATTTGACCAGAAACTAAGCTCAATGTTAGTATAAAATCAGCTGTATACTAGCAGAAACATATTTTCAATATTCACTGCAAATAAGGTAAACGCATCCATAACTTAAATGTGTTGCAATTAACTTTACAAAAAATATATCGTGGAGAAATTAAGACTTAGAAAAATGTCTACTTAAAACTGGTTTAACACAAACTATTAAAAGTGTGACGTGCAATTTACATGTACTTTCAATATGATCACAAAATAAAACTTTAATACAAAACACATTTAGTTCAAGACTACATCCACTCTGTTCGTTTTATTAACGTCATCTAGACACAAGGACGGTCTGCAGACCTACGTACATGTACTGTAAGCATATACGTAAACTAAATAGTCAAAATCAGCTAGTCATCACATTAAGCAAAAAACTTGCCTTTCACATTTGGAATCAATCGACCAAATTTCATATTTACAACAAATGCCATTCTCTGGGGAAATAATAACGTATGACACACAAGCACCATTGCTCTAAGTCTAAGTCTATCTAGTAGAAATGGCTGGTCTTAGACAATGAACCAAATCATCAAACTTCATAACAACTTGATAAAATTTGTGCAAGAGTCGAACACAGTTTAAATACTGATTTAATTTCTTAAAAAGACCTCATTTTTATCATAAAAAAAATCCTATATAAATAAAAATATATACATGTAGGTCTATTGTTTGCGATTTCTATATATACTCTTAATGGCCGTGTTTAAATACATTCATGATAAATTGTAATTTTGTGTAAAGACAAGGATATATTGTCATCTCACAGAACAAAAAAAACCACAATCTTGATTATTCTTCAGTGACTTAACACTGACTTCTTAATTCTCTTCTATTATAGACAATTTTAACCATTAAAACAGCATGGGGTGAAGGAAAATTTAAATGTTTTATTTTTCTTAGGTATTTAATAAACTCGAATGAACCACGTATATCTACAATCTGTAAAGAGTTTATCAGGTGAATTCTCAGCGCTATGACAATAGTACCAATAATATATTCATGATAAACATAATACCTTACACTAACAACAGATATCAAAATAAACTTATATATAACATTTAATATCAGGATTCATAACAACACCTGCTGTTTGCAAGACTTAACACCAGAAATACAACACCTTTGAACTTTTTAATAAGTATAATAGAGAGGAAGAGAAAAATGGGGTTTAACGTCCACTCGACACAAACTAGGTCATTTCGGGACTAACATATGGTTCAATTTTATTTCAGAGAGAGAGAGAGGGGTTTAATGCTCACTGTACAAAAATTAGATCATTTCGGGACTAACATGGTTCAACATGATTTCAATATTTTGCTTGCGTGTAGGGGTCTTTAGCAGTGGGAGGAAACCGGAGGACCCGGAGAAACCCACGAGGTTGGACAGGCGACCCTACTCCTTGTCACGTACAACCGGGGATTCGAAACCACGCCAGTTGACTCAATGACAGGCAGGCTTTATGATACAGCGCGCATGTGTTAACCATTCGGACACCCACCCCCCCATTTCACAGAGAGAGAGGTTTAACGTCCACTCGGCACAAACTAGGTCATTTCGGGATTAACATATGGTTCATCTTTATTTCAATGATTCGCTTTCAAGAAGGAGTCTTTAGCCGTGGGAGGACACCGGAGGACCCAGAGAAAACCCACGAGGTTGGAAGACAACCCTATTTCTTGTCACGTACAACAGGGGAATCAAAACCATGCCAGTTGACTTGATGACAGACGTTATGATACAGCGCACACGTGCTAACCATTCGACAATCCATGTAGAATACCCATGTCTGTTTCTATTTGTCAGTCAATTTACATCCAATAAAATTGGTTATTTTAAAGAATTTAACATTATAACACAATAAATATAGTTCAATTTATATATTTTATGTGTAAAAAATTTTGTGATAATTGGTTAATAAATAGAGATATTATTAGCAACATTCTTCAAAACAAAAAAAATCCTGACCTTTTATGGTACACAATATGTCAAAAAAATTAACTGGCTTATTAAATTTTAAATGGGAATCCTGATCCAAAAACACATCAAAATTTAAAAATAAATCGAACCATTTTGTCTTTTTTTTACTAAGTTATTAATAACATATCAGTATCACTGACAATCATGGCTGTGTGGTTTGATATTCAAAACTAAGCACTCGAAATTCGACAAAATGAACCACTCAAAGAAAATGATGTGATTGTATCTATTAAATAGAGCATAATATTATTATTTGTTTTTCATAATAATCTATTGATAATATTTGATAACATAAAAAACATATCAGCACGAATCAGAATACACCCTGTCATTATCAAAAATGACAGTTAAGAAATCTTAAATTATTTCCTGAACACACTCAAGACCGTCCCCTTTTTGTCGTCCAAATATATAATTAAATGAATAGGATTCAATAGACATTATGATACATACTGATTACCACATTCACGCAAATAAAATGTTGAAAGATGTCGTCTTTTTTATCCAGGTCTTGTGAAGTTTTCGATTGACAATCACAAATTATGTACTTTAGTAATAAGTAAGTAGATCCAGACATATACATGTACAGTACAACTTTAGTAAACATGTCCGTAAACATACATGCACCAAGAAAGGTCTTATTAACCATATAAAACCACAATGGCTTAATAAATAAAATAAGCTGAAAGATGTCAACGTTTTCCTCAGGTCTTGTGGAAAATTTTGATTTGATTGACAATCACCCAAATGTACTTAGAAATTTAGATACGATACAGCTGTACATATATGTACATACACCAACAAATGTCTTATTAATTCACAGTTAACTTTGCAAATAAATAAAATAAATTGAAACATGTCATCATTTTCTTCGGGTCTTATGAAAGTTTTCAATTGACAATCACCAAAAATGTACTTTAGCAATAAATATATTAGATTTAAATTACAACTGCACATACACATGTACACACCAAGAAATGTCCATTGAAAATTACCAAAAATATATTAGATTTACTAAATTAGAACCGTACATACACATCAAGAAATTTCAATTGAGAATTACCAAAAAATATATTAGACATAATAAATTCGAACTGTACATACATGTACATGTACACACCAAGAAATTTCAATTGAGAATTACCAACAAGCAAAAAATATATTAGTCTTAATAAATTCGAACTGTACATAAACACCGAGAAATGTCTCATAAACCTCAATAGGTAAATAAATAACATAAGTTTAAAAGGATCAAGCTCGATATGGAGAAGTAAAGATGGTGAGGTGTTTAAGCCGTTAAGAAAACAAAAAGCAAATCTCTGACCTGAATCTAATCTTTTCCATGTGGAAATCAATGAGTGACCAAATATTTCGGTAGATTTATCAATTGTGAGCAGGACAAAGAGAGGACAAAAGCAAAGCAAAGGTATCAAATTTCAAGCAGGATGGTGGTTGTGTTCAATTTACTTGGGTTATCTTTACACAAAGAAAGAAGGTCAGCTGTTAGGACCAACCTACTTGAGATCGAAGTCTACACCATCACCTATGTACATCCAGTAACCACAGTGTTTAATAGCCCGAGTAGAAGTGGGGAGAAATAATTAGCCATGTTAGTCGCTCGGGTTACATGATCAGTTATTGCTGAAGCCCTCTCTCTCTCTCTGTTCAAAGGCAGTAAACCTAAATACCCGAATCTAGGTGAATGGATTGCTTGGATGGATTCTAAGACACATAAAATAGATCATTTTAAAACAATAATGGCCTTTTCATCTTTTCATAGAAGGAAGAATGATTGCTATATATATACAGTATACACCCAATATTTCAATAATAAAAGGATGAGAGATTATCACCCATTGATACTGGGCCTATTCACGTGTTACAAAGATGGAGATGAAGAAGAATATGTTTATTGTCACACGATGTAGATATAAATTACATTGAAATATTTTCCAGGCCATCAAAATACCATTCAACCATAAAGGGCAAATGAAAAACATTGATATACATGTATTTGTTTACAAGAGTCTGATCAGATAAAATATAATAAATTATTATTTTATAGAATAGATCACGGATGCTTTATATACTCAATATTTATAGAGATGGATCTGGAAGAAGTCTTCAATTATGGTAGGCAACTAGGCTCAGGGGACCCGTAAGAAGCTAATGGAGATAATAGTTTAAGGGCTCTTTTTTAGTTTAAGGGAATTTTTTGTGTTGAATTTACTGTATGCTCTTTCATGAATTGGTAAGATTGCAACATGCTAGTTACAATGCAAGCAGCTGTATTTTGGATGCATGGAGGTCATTTCATTTGATAGTTTTAAATACCATCAAGTAGGCAATTGCTCTAGTCCAATCCCCCAAAAAATATCAAAGATCTAATTAGAACTGTCTGTGTCATCATCATCGGTATGAGATATTAAATGGTGAAAATAAGACTTTTGAGTTGAGGTGAAAACAAAAACTTTTGTACTGAGAGAGAGAGAGAGAGAGAGAGAGAGAGAGAGAGAGAGGATTTAAGTCCACTCTAAACAAACTAGGTCGTTTCGGGACTAACATATCGTTCTATTCTA